GGGATGGGGGGTGAGAAATCAATACGCTGTTAGTGGCATGAGATGTAGTTAATATGCGGCTGGGTGGGTGTAGTGAAGGATGGGGGGCATCAAAAGCGTCCACCCTTCTGTCATCATATGAACTTGCAAACACAAATCATGTTAATGCCTGTGTTTCACTTAGCACAGCTTGTTTGTCTCTTCATGGTGGTGGGAACACTGTATATCCAAATGTTAAAAATCTATATCTCCAAAATACTGTAGTTACATTTCCAGAATTTTAGTTGCTCCCCAGAATGCTGATATTCACGTTTTAACTCGTGCATCTGGTAAAAAACACTGATTAAAGGTAATATCTGCAATCTAAATCTAATCATAAGGCGTTACCTCACCGCTAAAAAATACAACACAATGTTGGGAACTGCTGTCACTCTGAAATTCATGGAATCATTAGTATTTTAATACAGACTGACACAAAACTACATCAAAGTTATAAATGTTTTCTGAAGTCCATTTTGGAAAAAATCCTGTGTTGTCCATGTTGCAAACAAAAATCTAATTAACTGATTTGAATTGATTATGGTGACTTTTGCATGCTAATATTGCACTCATTTCAAGAAAAGTGAGTTCTGGTTAGATACAAGCTGATTTTTAAAAGGTGAAATAGTTTCTTACTCCATTTCCTGTTTTAACATTAACATGTTCTGTCATGCTCCACTCAGTCACCTGGAAACTTGACCTCTACAGATTAGTTAAAGTCTACTTATAGGCAGAGAGGATTGCAGTCAGCTTTTTCGGAAACGCATACAATAATAATAATTTTAAAAAAGAGTGTTAAATCAGGGACGACTGTATTTGGCTGAAGGTACTTGAAGTGTTTTGCCTCTAATCTAGGCTTTATCAGTTTGAACTGACTGTCAGGGAATCCCAGGTATTCAACCTCTGCGGGGTCGTTATCAAGGTGATGGATACCACTTGGTTGTTAGTGCTCCTGGCTGTTGTAACGACAGTCACCGTGGTCATTAGAGTCACGCCAAATGTGAACGACCATTGTTGGCATTGCCACTTGAGGCCAGATGTGAGTGTTTGTTCAATGTCCTAGGAAGGGATGAAAGCACAGCCTTGTTTGAGGGGGATAAGTGGTGTCGCAGACCCTGACCTGCTGAGAGATGTACTCTCTACTTTGGTTTATATGGCTGCCTTCACTCCTCTTTACACCATATAGTCCAGGTCCAGCTGACCTTGATTTAACCCTCCTTGGATTACTATTACCTGTATTACTGAGAATCTTCACAGACATGTAATGAAAAGGTATATCTTCTGAATCATGTGTGTGAATCATGTGTGTCAACATACATCAGATTTAAGTGGTCACAATAAAATTAAAGGCCAGTCCTTTAAATTACAGCGATTAAAATGTTTGAGGACCGAATTTTGTTATCTTGGAATTAATAGACAGTATAAATCTCAGTTGTTGGCTAAAAAAAATGTAAACCTTTCAACATACAACAGATATTAAAATGGTTTCATAAACCCAAGCTTCATAAAATATATTTGTATTAATTATTATAAACCTATAAAGGACTAGGTAAGCCTTCAAGTATAAACATAAACACAATTAATAGTTTGTGTACAGTTTTTTTTCTTCACAGGTGTATTCTCAAAACAAAACAGGCTGGAAATAATTAGACAGTGAATATGGACAAAAGAGACATCTTATGGCATATGGCAGGGTCAGATGGAGAAGGAAAATCTTGTCATACAGTGGCGGAAATCTATTAACTTGCATACATATGGATTTATGACAACAACTGGCATAAGGAATTATGAATAACTTACAGACGGATGTTCTTATATAAGCATCAATTGTTAATTGAAGAAGCTGTCACAGTCCCTGGGGCTGTCAACTTAGTTTTATAAGCATTCAAACTCAGCTTTATCAAATTAATGGTCTATTCAGTGCTGCCTGATTCTCCTGTAATCCATCTTTTGTGCTTTCTGCGGAGAAAAAAAACAAAAATTTTGTTCCTGAGACATATCATTCACTGGAAGAGGAAACCAGTTTTTACTAATATTGTTCCAGAATAGATGCTGGTGCTAGATTGTCTTAGCTCAGGTGATTTCCCTGGACCCCTTGACACTGGATGACGACAACCTCTGTTGCATTTTTCATGTCTCGTCTCTGTAAACAGAGGCGGTAGAGTCAGCAAGAAAGACTGGGTTGTGCTGAGGAGCCCAGGTGTGCTGACAGGTAGATCTCTACAGGCCATGTGGGCCTCTCTGGGGAAATCATGAGCCACCCTTCTCTAACAAAATTAACGTTTTTACCACACAGAGGAAGAAGAATAAAAAACCTGCTGTACTCAAAGGAGGCTTGTGTCGTGGAGCAAAGGAACAAGTTGATGGGGGACAAGGGAGTGGACGATCTGGGGTTCTGCATTCATGTTGAACTTAAGCTTTCTACACAGAGAATGTTGTTAACCTGAGCTTTACTTAATTTCCTTATTCCTAAATTCCTTATTACTTCTGTGTGACATTGATTATGTATATAATGCCACTATGATGTGTCTTCCGTTGAAAGTAAGAGAATTGTTCATAACTACACATATCCAGGAGATGGTTCTCTCAAAAAAACCCACCTGCAATCATTTTACGTGGTCACACAGCCAGTGCATACTCCAAAATAGTTTTCTGTTTTCCTTGTTTGCTTCTGTGTTGCATAGCCCACTTCAAATATATAGCCTACACATTTAAATGCAGTCAGACCAGACTTGGCTCCCCATCAATTTCTGTGAGGAACGGGGTGAGATGTCTGGTCTTTGTTTGAGGCTCTCAATTGACCAGCCAATTTGAGAGTCAGGGTGGGACTGACCTCAGGAGGCACTTATTTATTTTATATACTTTATCTAATTGTACAGCATAATGCAGGCTCCAGTGATGCTGGTTGCAGTGAGTGCAAGGACAGTAATACAGGTTAATGTCATTTAAGTGCTTGATAAAAGGGAGTATAATTTACAACTTGTGGAATGAAGCTGTTAGCCTGCTAGCCATGCTAGCTTCTACAGTTTATGCTTATTAACCTACCCACACTATTTCCTGTCCTGCCTGTGTTTCCCCACAGCACATGGAGTACATTTTGCCTCATGGTATCAGTGTGATCGCACCTTTAGCATCTCTCTGCTTTTAGACTCCAAAGCATTATCTGGCCATGCCAGCATTTTAATGGGAAATATTTTACAAATATTAAATGAATATTGTTTAAAAATTCCTTATACAAAAATAAATATTTTACCATTGCCATTTCAGGTGTCTTATGCCTCGAATATACTTCAAAGCTGACACGTACACGGATAGCTGTTCACTCCACGGACGTGGACTACATTAGTTTATACTACTTTCTGGAGTCAGCTTGGCTGACTTGTTCAATACATGCGCAGTAGATCAGTTAGATGATTTAGTGAATGTGATACATCAGCGTTAGCTCCCCTACCCCTTTTCATAAACTCTTTCTGTTTTTTTCACCAGAGGCTCAGCAATGACAGCACAGCCAACTGTATTGGATGATAATGAAATGGTTAGTGAGCTGGACTGAATATTGCAAATGAGATTGTTGCCACAATTTATAACAGTTAGACCATACTAAGTAACGTTACTGTAGTGGATGGATCTTCCACTGTGGTGTTGTCCTGCGCTGTTATGTTGCATTATTGTCTATTATTTGGGTCACGTAAGTTACAGCAACTGAGACGGTGAAGAAGCTGTGTACGAAGCAAACAATGGTAGATGTGTGCTAACGAGAGCTGGCTGCCCCTGCCTGCATCACTATAGGCTAGTAAAAACAAACTCCACATTTGCTTTGTACCGTTACATCATTTCTTGTAGGCTAAAATTGACACTTTGACATAATCCTGGTGGTACACAGGATAGTAATATGGATCGTACACTTGGTAAAGTAATGTGAAAGCCTATAGTGTTTTGCACAGGATAACGCTAGCAAATGCTTAACCTTATCTTGAGCCAACTAAAACACAAAATCACAATATATTTCACATGATTTGCAATAATGTTAGTTACCTGTCCAAGGAATGAAAGGAGGAAAGCCAACTCTGAGTCAGTTTTGTGGGTTTCAAAACAAAGCAGAGCTCTTTCCTGTGACTTGAGCCTTTCTGATGTTGACCTTGTTTTCACCCAAAGTCGATTTGATTCTCATTTAGCCTGAAGGGCTCCAGCACATGACACTTTATTGTTGGTTTTTATCCTCACGTGGATTATGTGTTGGAGTCTGTGTTGGGTTGGGAGCTGGTAGTTTTTTTGGTTTAGGCTGACTCCATCTCGTTAGCTGTGGTGTTGTTGCTGTGTGTATGGTACAGGGTCAGAAGGCAAGAGGCTCCGGACCATGCATGCAGTCACAGCCAATGGATTCCCGGAAAATCCGACCCGGAGTCTATATTTAGGATTAGGCATACTCTGTCTGAGGTTACAATCCCTTCACATACAGGCAATAAACAAGGGATTCTCTTCATTAAAAAAAAAACTACATATAGCCCCTTTAATACATTCAAGTTTACTACATTTACATTCAGCTGTGGGTGGAAGGTCAGCAACCTAGCCACCTTTCACTTGGGAGAACAGGTTCCCATGAACAAGTTCCCATGTGAAACAAGATTGATTTGTTTTTTTAATAAAATTAAGTAGTGTTAGCTACGTTAGTTTTGTAGCATTAGCATTAGCATTAGCTAGCTAACTATGTTAGTCTTAAAAGCGTTGACAGCCCCCCATAGCTCTAACCCTTACCCTAACCTTCACAGGGTGTGTGCCTAAACCTAAAGCATGATTTATACTCCTGCGTAGGGTAGCCAGGCATTTATACTTGTGCATCCGTGTGTCCATCAACCTGCAATTACACCCCCAAACACTAGTCGGCAGTAGCGCTACAGCATCCACTGTATTGACTTTTGCCGGCTGAGCAGGCTAACCGGTTTAGCGCTCCGCTAACGTGAATGGGGGTAAAATTGATGAACCCACGGCCGATCTGCTTGCAGCTGGGGTTCACCTCCTTTGAGAAATTGCCATTTTGGGAGGCATGGACAAACGCCACCGGTAGGGGTGCTATTCCTGGAGGACTTGTTGTCCATTATATCATTTCAATCAGGGTGACACACTGGTTGGTCAGAGCACACAGAAAATATCTTCAAGAGTGACTAACTTTGAGTAACTCTGAGTAACGTTTTAAAACTGTTTTGGTTAATGCTCCTCCTGTGTTAGTAGGTTAATCAGTCCTGTATGTACACCACTTAAAACTAAAGACAGTAAACACACAGAAAGCAACCAAACTGGACCAGTTTTATTGACATGAAACTATGCTGTCAACATAAATGTGAGAATGATAGACTGATAGATAGAATGTAGTCAATATTCTACAAGTAGGAGTTTTAAGTTAGAATTTTTGCCTCGTCATCTGTGAGAATAAGTAACATGCCATGATCAGCATCCATCTCTATTAGAAGCTCAACTTGAAAAGAGAGAAAAAAAGTCTGGTACAAACACTGGCCAAATCAGAGGATAGCAGCAAAAACACAGTGATAACTGCGTGTTTGAACTTGGTAATTGGTTGGGCACTCGGTAGGCAATACAACAGAGGACCTACTGAGTGTGGTGTGTGTTTCCCAAACCCACTGTGCAGCCTCATAGAGTACAAAGGCAGAGAATGAACTTCAGAGGGTTTTAATGCCTGAAGAGAAGAATATGGACATTAAATTATCAGGGGAAAACAGCAGGGTGTGAAAAAAGAGCCTTCTAAAGCCTGCGAACGCAAACGTACATACAGGCTGCTTCTGACACGGAAACCTGGCCAAATTCACAGGCTCCTTTATTCTGAGCTTCACACTGATACTCTCGCCGTTTGTGTGTGTGTGTGTGTGTGTGTGTGTGTGTGTGTGTGTGTATGTACATGAATATACTGTATGTGTGCACATGCTTTACTTTTTTAATTGGAATTTAAAGCAGTACGCTACCATAATACACATTCACACTTCCTTTTCTTGCATTGAAAAAGGACATATTTGTGTACATGTACTTTAAAAACTAGACTTACAGTAAATCTGTTATGAAAAAACAACAACACTGTAGCTCATTTACTGCATCTGAGAGACAAGTTTTACATCACTAAATACATTTATTTTACTGTAATTATGGATCATAAAATGTGCCCCTAAGCCAAGACAACTTTTGTTAGACACAAGTAGGTGCAAACTCAACTATTAGTTATCAGTGGAACAGTTACAGGTTTGTCCCTTGAAAGCATTTTGTGCATTCTTTCTAAAGGTAATGCTTTCTGTTTCGTCAAAATGCAAATAAAAACTAAAAACTGTAAAATATTGAATTTCTCTTGTCATGGAAATGTATTAATTAATAGTCTCATTTATTAAACATGATCACAAAAAAAATACATTTTAATTCCCACCATTGCGTCCAGTGTTGTGGCTCTCATGATTGACAGCTATAACGTGGTTTAAAATAGCTTGGAAATTCTGCATGTTCTGCATTACACAGCAGCACCAATAAGGCCTTAGAGGGTCTCTCCAAATAGTCTGAATTTCAAAGTGAGCAAAAAAAACAAGCACAATGGGAAATAAAAGACTATAGCTAAATGAAAAGAATCACTCTTACAGCTTTACACACACACACACACACACACACACACACACACACACACACCTTATTAATCTTTAATATCTTGTCTTGCTTCCCTTTCTTTTCACCTCTCTCTCCTGCTCTCTCTCCCTCCAGTTTATCTCTTCTGAAGCAATTATACCCAAGAGGACCGAGCACATAGGACATGCTCCCACTACCTAGAGCAATAATATATCATTACATACTAAACATATAGCAGCTACGCAAACAGCTTTTATTGCTACTCCAGGGCGAGTGCTATTTATAAGCACCAGTATAGCCACAGAGATCACTCCTCTACCTGAGCTGTATTTGTGTGTTTGGATATCACTTTAGATTTTCCCACTTTTCTTAGAGTACTTGTGTGCTGAAATAATGTCAATTTGTCCATTTTTTCCATTTAATTTCAATAGCTTCATATTGACATTAGGGGGTGCTGGAATTCTTTAGAGTTGAGTGATGAGGTGTTGGATTTGAAGCAGTGTTGAAAACTGACTACTGTATGTGATATTATTTTTTAAAACATCCAGCATTTATTAGAGGTTTTATTTACATTTAGTTTCAACAACTGTCAGCTGTTCAATTAATTTTTTTTATTACACTAAATTAATTAATAATGGTGATAATGAAAATGACAACAAGACAGAATTTTTAAATGTGCAAACCATGTTTATAAAAATCCTGTTTATAGAAACCCAATTATTGTGAAGATGTTTGTGCAATATTTAATTTTTAAAAATTAAATTCTTTACACTTAATCCAATAAAATATTTTAGAAGGATTCCTCTCAGTAGACAAACCTGCTCTGCCGTCTAAACAGGAATCAAACGTCTTCTGTATCTGCCACAAAAAACCTCTTTCATACTTGCTGGAAAAAAAAAAACTTCTACTAAGTAACTTATTCAAAGTACAACTCATGAATTATTTAAGAGAACACATTTCCCCTTGTTTATTTATATATACATATGTATAAAATATCATTTATTCTAAGAGGGTCTATAAATCAAAAGTATTCCCAGAGAATAACAGATAAGTGAGGTTATTGTGCAATGAGGCCAGCTGGTGGTAATAATTTAATGACGTTTTACAGGCGCTATAAAGACAGCAAACAGATGTGGCATTAAGGATTATAAAGTTGGTAAAACTTTTAACAAGTGCTATGTATTTCGGTGGTACAACAGCACAACCCCTAGAATAAAAGGAATTTACACATCCTTCAATTCCAAAGCTATCAATCACATGCGTGTTATTCCCCTGGGAGCGTCTTTACATGCATATTTATCAGCTCAACATGCTAATTCCCGCTGCTATACACCCGCCAGGCACGTCTCCAGGCGTGTTTATGACTCGTAATTGTTGATATCCTTTGATATATTTCTCTCAACTAAGACATCATTTGGTTTTTGTGGTCGAAAGTCAATGAGGCACAATGACCCGAGCTTTCAATTCAAATTTACAGTTCAATATCTATTATACGCTATTCAGTGCCTGGAGAGGAAGCCTCTTTCAAAGCAGAGGGGGGGGATTCAAATGTACTGTATAGCACTTATTAGCAGTTATGCTCATCTCAAGGTTAGTTCCTTGATTGAAAAAGAAGTAATATAAATAAATGAACAAATAAAATAAGCAAAATTGAATTATTATTGCAGGGAAACAGCTCTGTATTTCATGCTTTTTAGCAGGAGTTTGCTTGTCAGAGTGTTGTACCTCAGGGAAAAGTAAATAAATAAAATGCATGTTTGTGGTAAACTTCCATAACTTGGACGTTGCTCACAGGAGCTGTGAATAGTTTGTCATCTTATGCCAAACAACTAATTGTGAAAAACTTTCTGCGGTATAAGACACATGTGCCATATTGTTGCAAGATCTAAGATCATCAACATGCATTTACATTGCTAAAGAGCATATATGGCAGATGAAGCATTTCAGCATAAATTCAGAGCTACATTGGAGAATGAGTGGGAGATCTCTCTTGCTTGCACGCTCTCTTCTCTTTCTTCCTGTTTTCTTTATCTTTCTTCCAGTCCCTCATCCTCTCCCCTTCCTTTTTCGCTTTTCCCGCAGACATCTGCCGACAAGCGCACACCTCCGGGGAACCAACATCTGAGAAATGCAATTTGAGCATTTCAGTGCCACAAAGAAAAGACAAACAATGCTGGAAAAACGAGGGGATAAACACGCTGCCGAGTTGATGCTGGACAAACATGTCGCGTTCTCTCCAATTCACAAATGGCCCTGCTACGTTCAGCGCTCACAGGTGTGGAAATTCAAGGACAAACTTGATTGCGCCCGTGGCCGCTGTTGTTGTTTCTGGGTTTGTTTACTTGTCGTGCTTGTCTCTCTACTATTGTTTGACAGATCCCCCCCTCAGGGATGCGGTCCTTTAAGATGACAGGAGAAGGATGTGTGCTCTTAAAAGAAGAGAACAAGGGAATTAGTCTTCATCAAATGCTGATCTTGGAGGAGAAAATCAGCAAGCAGAGAAGTCAGGTCCACAGGCCAAGTTGTTGAAGCAGCAGCTCAGGGGAATTGAACGGTTCATTAATGTCTTTTGGCCTGAGAGAGCTACAAGAACTGGAAAAAGATAATTTGACAGTTTTATTGACTGTGATTGTAAGTTTGACCAAATAAAGTCCTTGCACTCATTTGCGACAACTACCCTATTTAAGTTTTAGCTGCATAGCAAATGCACTAATAAAAGCCTTTTCAGAAAGTTCATAGATTTTCAAAGAGAAAAAAAGAGATGGCTCTCATGCAGTCTGAGTGGAGAGTCATTTCTTACAATATGGACATTGTCAGTGGCTCCTTAAAGACAAATAAGTGGGTGTCACTGCAGAAATTACTTTCCATGATGAACTACATAGCCATCATCAGCAATGACACAGCGTCATTCACATCAACAACACAGGTGCATGAAAAATGGAATGGGCTGGCAGGAAAATGAATTATTAATGACACATTTAAGTATTATAACAGAAAATCAATGAGCATACCTGGTGTAATTAACATGCACAATGTTTTCCATAATCCAGCACAGTATAATTATGCCTCTCTATTCCAGAACACGTTAGCATTAGCTTTTTCTAAAGCACACAACACCTGTTTATTTGGTTTGCTTGTTCTCTGCCTTCCTTTTTTCCCCTGTAATGATAAATAGGCTGCAAAATGTTATTTAGCTACGCTCCGGTGTTGGATGTGGACCTACAGTCATTTGAAGCTGGCCGCAGACCTTAAGCTCAAAACCTAAAGGGATCAAAACTGTGTTGTTAAATTGCCTGTTTTAACAAAATGGCTTTGTGTTTCTTTAGCCTCTTTAGTCTGTGTTCTGACCAAAAGCAATGTATTTATTTTTACTCCTTTTGAAGTTAATACATACATAATTTAAGTTACTAAATAGATTGCTACAAACCCTTAGTGCTTATTTTGCTGGTTAACAAAATATCTGCCACCCCACATGTACATTTTATGTATTTCATGTGGTGCTATTGATTCAGATTGAAGGGTTGGGGTGTGGGCTTATCTCTGTATACTGTAACATGTCCACTAATCACTGATTACCACCGTCTGTTTGTGCTGTGACCAGTGGCAGTGTACAAGATTTCCCATCGTTCCTGAAGGATGCTGGGGAACAGCTTGAGCGGAATCCAACACGGGACTGGGATTTTTGGCAAGTCAAACTTTATCAGCACAAACATGCGCAAAATGAAAACAAACACAACCCAGACTGCTAATTACCATCCGCTTGGACCTCTGTCCTCTATTTTTCTCAGAGAGACACAAAATGGCCGACTGCACCGTGCACTTCACTAAAAATCAGAGGAGGCTGCTGCTGTTCACTCTGTCCAAGGGACAACCCTTGTCGCCTGGGTAATACAGGTTGACACACTGGTACCCCCAGTGATTTTTCAATCCTATTATTTCATGTGCAAAGTTATAAATTACACGACTGACACCAGTCTGGTATCTTCTGGGCCATGTGGCCTGAATCAACGCCAAATCCTGTGCCACTAATTTTACTAATTGCCTGAGCCTGGCCAACACTTTTCATTGGTGTGGCGCCTACAGTGTCACAGGAAGCTAATGAGCGCTAAATAATGTATGTGAACCTCTCTAATTGCTTCATTTCTCATTTTGCTTACCAATTCTCATATCATGGTTAGGGATGCCAATTTTTTTTTTTTTGCTGATGATTCTAACAGTGGTTAATACTAATAACTCCACCAGTCTGTCAAAGGGCAGAGCCTGGGGAAAATGAAGCTTGTCACAGCACTGTATTATATTTTATAATAGAGAAACACATGATGGCTTGGAATGTATTTATACATATATTATTTCTCAAATAATCCTCTATTTCTATGTGAAATATTCAGACAGAATCTGAACTCCAACCAGCCCTCTTCGGGTAAACACTGGATTATTTTGGATGCGCTCATTGATGCATACAGCATCATCAGGTAAGGCAGCGTATGCCAGCATGTGCCACCTGGGGCTGTGTGTGCTTATGTATTTTTGTGTCTGCACTTGTGTGATTGTGTATATACAGATTGTATTTGTGTGCTTCTCTGTGTGTAACTCTAGCTCACACAGACAGGCATATGGGTGTCTTATAGCATGTGTGTGTGTCTGTGAGTGTGTGTATGACTGTGTTGTTTCCCACTCTGGCTAAGTTCCCACTGCAGCACCCGTTGGCCACCTCTCCTCCCAGTCCTATCAACAGGGAAGCTGTAATTTAGCAGCAAATTTGATCATCCAAATAGCTGAATATTTAATGGTATTAGAGCGCTTGGTAAAAAAGCTGTATTATTTATTTACTCCCTATAGTGTATCCTCTATTCAGGCAACTCCAGGTGGTCCTGTAAATATACTCTATCTGACACACGTGTTAAATTATTGACCGATAATTTATCATAATTCATGTCACTGAAAACTCAATAATGCTCTCCAGGATCTTACCACCTCCTCCTGCTTGTGACCGAAGCAGAGACTGTCGCCTGTCAAGGTGGTGAGAAGGTCAATGCTACCATAAGAACAACATGGATAGATTAAATCAAATTTACTGTGTATCAAGGCTGCAGTTAAAGTTTGAATCAAAGGACCAAAAAACAGTTTAATGTCAAAGTGCTTCATACATTGGAAAGCGCTTGATCATGGTTACAGTGATCAGCAACTTATATGGATCAAACAGCTCGGGGCAAAATCATTCCTATACAGATGCTGTTTTAATACTTTGCTTAAAGTAATCAAGTAGTCCACTTACATTGTTCATTTTGGGTCTTTTCATACATAACGCATACGGGGAAAAAATCTGTAATTTTTAATAAAGAGTTTTTGTTTTCAAACTCGGCTACCAGTTTGGCATTGATAGTCTACAGTTAATTTTAAGGCCTGGGAAAAATTTTAAATGCACTGAAGCCAAATTTTATACATTTAAGAAAGTTAAGCAGGAACATTGATATTGATACAAAGCCTAACTTTAACTTTAAAGAGCTAGTAGTAATAATAGTAATTGGCTTTGAATGCATAGAAGCATATAGTGTCTAACAGAAGAAATTCCTTAAACTGAAAAAAACAACATAATTTAAATTTCTTCATTTTGTACACCTTTACAAAAGGCATTATCCAGACAGGTCCAAGTCAAAACAGACGCGAGACACGAGTCTAAAACATATCACAAAGTGTTCTTAAAGACCAGATTCCCTATAACAAAGACAACAAGGGTGGTTTCCAAGCTGTCAAGATGTTTATTTCTACCCACAACAGCTTCAAAACCACCTGCAGCTGCAGCCTTCTACTTTCTGTGATGGATATAATGTTAGGTAGAGAGTCTGAAGTGAAATGCAGGTGGCACACTGGGTTGATGTAGTTTTTAGAGTTTGTAATGTGCTTTTTTTGTCTTCTATTTATTGCCACATTACCACAACTCTGGGTCATGTATAAAGTAGGAAACAATGTCAATCATTCAACATAAAATTCAGGAAATGTGTGCAAAGTCTGAAACCCATCTTGGTAACACTCATACAACATTAAGGACAAGTAGACAATAAAGGGACTGGTGTTTGTGTTATGCCATGTTGCGGAAGTAATGTTAAATTATTTTAAAATGTAGTGTTTTCAACATTTAAAAGCTTAGTTATGGAAATAGGTTAGACTGGTTGATTAGATTACTTAATTGTAGTATTTGTACTATCATCTCCATGTTATATTTAACTTGTATTAAAATGTATTAAAAGTCACTTGTTATGCACATTATTTGTATTTAAAAAGTACTTCTTTATAACTTCTATAACTTGCACACACCTTGTCAAAACCTGGTGCCGACATTGAAATTATTATAAATAAATAATTAGTCATTTAACTGACGCTTTTATCCTAAGCTACTTACAATTACTATATATGACAGAGGTCACACGCCTCTGGAGCAACTAGGGGTTAAGTGTCTTGTTCAGGGACACATTGATGGATGTCACAGTGGGAATCAAACCCGGGTCTCCCACACCAGACGTATGTGTCTTATCCGCTGCAGCATTTCCCACAGTGCAACTTGAGCTTTGGGCTGCGAGCCTCAAGCAGAGATGAGGAGCCGGCTACAGAGTTCTGGTAAAGCTCACTTCGTTGTAACTCGACGACAGATTTTCCTTCTTTTTTTTTACTTCAAGTGACATCACTTCAAGCAATTTATTAGATTTCACAAGTCACATCACACAGTGCTTTAAAAGTGCGGTACACTTTTACACCATTGCTTTATATTGAAATTGGATTTCAGATTCTGCAATTTTGCAGTTGTTTAGATAAATAGTTCTCCAATACTGCAGAAGAATTACCAATATAGATCCATGTACTTGTCCAGATAGCACTGACTGACTGAATACCTGGTATTTTGATTATTTGAAACAAACAGACATTTTATCCTGACTAGTAAAATCTTCCTTATTAAAACCCATATTAACTGGTTCTCTTATATAGTGTTTTCTTTGATTCAGTCTCTTCTAAAGGACTTGTCTTCAGTAAAGTGCTGGATGAATAAAGATTTAATAATTGATTGACTGACTGACGAAAGGGATCTTGTGGCACATTAGAACAACATAGATCTGCAGTGGCGATTGTTTAGGGATAATGAAAAATAGTGGTGTGTTGAGAAAAATGTCTAAAAATACAAAATACTCTTATTATCCATTAATGACAACACAGTACAGTAGTCATAGTCTCTAATGCAACACCCAAACAGAATGTCACTGGCAGTGAACACAACATTGCATCCCTTAATAGGATTGTGTCTGTATAGCAATTTGTCAAGCCAAAATATCCAGTATTTATGAGACAAATATAGCACATTGGAACAAGTAAGGGAGAGAGAAATCACAAAATAGTCAATAGGATTAACCAAAGCATAAACTAAATGCTCCTTGATGTGTCATCGATAAAAGGATTTTTGATTATTCGTCACCATAAAATGCGTGGCAAGATTGTCATGCTGTCATTGTATTACTGTATCCCCTTTATCTGTCTGTCAATCTAGCCGCATTAGAATCTGGGCGCTGTTTTCTCCCCCGCCTTGTTTTTAAAAAATGGATTTAACACACAGTCTGCATTTAGAGTGCAAAAAACAGATTACCTCATCGCCTCGGGTCGACGTTGCGTTAATA